GCTGCTGGGGGGTTGACTAAGTCATCAGAAGAGCTAGAATGATGGTGGGGGGCCAGAGACTGATGTAGCACAGTGGAACTTTATGTGAGTCAGTCATTGTTTTTAATAAGTTCAGGTGGAGGGTGGTGACAAATGTGGTATAATGTCCTGATAGCTAATAAATATTGAGGGTAAAAGCTGAGGCAGGAAAATCACAAGTTCTAGCAGCTTATCCTCAGCACAGCCTCAGCAACTTAGCAAGACCTTGTCTCCAAAAAATCAAAAGGGATTCCTGGGTTCAATCCCCAGTACCACAAAACCAACAAATAAATCAGGGGTAAGTATTGGGTAATGTATGCTCTGGTCAAAGCTTCGAAGGAGGATGGATTTATTATTATTAAATGTCCCTTTCACGGCTCCCAAACTTCTGGCCTTCTCAGCCATCTTGTTCTAATAGCTCTCCTGCCTGTTTCCTTCCCCACAGTTATGAAAAATATCTAATGTTAATTTTTCCCTAAGACATTTATCCTTCCCTTCACTACAATTTATTATTATTAAATTTATTATTAAATATTCCTTTGACATTTGTTAGCTTTGGGAGGGAGAAAACTGAGTAGGAAGGAGAAAAGATGCAATTAAGTTAAAATACAAGTCATGTTCAAATTCATCCAAACCTTGGTGAAAGGGGCTGAGGTAAGAGAGCCAGAGTATCTGGGGAGATTCCACTGTGCTCTGGCAGGGAGCAGCTTCCCATTAGGCTAAGTATGTTAACAGTAGCCCAGCATTTTCCTACAGTAAGCACCCAGTTTACTCTGGGCCCCCAGGAAGTTTGAAACAACTGGAACGAGGGATGCTGGCACCAATAGCAAGTTCGTCCAGCTCTTCATCAGTGCTCATGTTTAATGACAAACACTGACTGCATTGTGCTTGATTATTCCTACCAGAGAACCAGAGCATGCACTCCTCTGGACTCTTCTAGCATCATGTACAAATCTCTAGCAAAGGATTTATGGCTGTTTTAATTTTTCTATCTTTCCTTCAGGCTTGAGAGATCGAGTCTCAAGGGCAGAGACTAGACCACATTAGTTTCTGAACCCTCAGCACCTGGCATAAAGCCTGGCATGGAGTAGTTAGTTGTTGCTTAAGTGCTTGTTGAATGAGCAACTATGACCTTCAGGATAATAAATAGAATGCCCCACTCCCTTTTACAAAGATGAAAGCTAGCCGGACACAGTGGCACACATCCATGATCCCAGAGACTTGAGAGTCTGAAACAGACCACCAAGAAAGTTATTAGTGGGTAGAGTACAAAAGCAGAGAGATGCTAATTTTGTTATAGCTACACTAATATAACCTCTGCAGGGTCCACATTAAAAAAAAGAAAAAACTGATGAGCTGGAGGATATACCTAGGGTAGCTAGGGCTATCATACTCACTGTTATGTGAGAAATGGCCTAGGATTGCAAATTCAATCCAGCTTGGGCAACAATGGAGAAAGCTAAAGCCCAGGGATGGTAAGCTGCTTGCCCAAGGTCACACAGTTGCTCAGTGGCAGAACAGGATTAGTTTCCAGACTCTTAACCTAGTCTTCCTAGGACAACACCACTTTACGTGTCCTCTCTCCTCTTGCTGGACTGAAAGCTCAGAGAGGAAAATATTATTGATCTCTCCATTTCTGCCATCACAAGCTTTACTCAACTTTGACCCTTCACCAGAAATTTGGTTGTCTTTCCCCTAACCACCCATTCTGGGGATGAAACCTAGAACCTTGAGCCTGCTAGACAGGATCTTTACTACTGAGCTCCATCCCTGGCCCTATAAATGTGGTTGAAGACAAAGGAAATCTGCTTGTTAAATCTGCAGATAGCAAGAACTGAGAAAGATGGATTATCCTATAGATTAACACTGGATGACAGGGCAGAATTCAAAAAGATCTAGGTCAGAAGGAAAGTGAGTGTGAGAAAAAGATGAGCTTTAACTAAAAACAAAACTGAAACCAGGGTAAGATTTTTGCACTTAGCATAAAAAGATTTTAAATAGGTAGGAGTAGGGAGACCTTAGGTGAATAGGGGTACATGTTGAAAACTTGTAGACTAAGGAATCAATGAAATAATGTGACCGCCAAGAAAGTTATTAGTGGGTAGAGTACAAAAGCAGAGAGATGCTAATTTTGTTATAGCTACTCTAATCTAACCTCTGCAGGGGCCACATTTAAAACAAACAAACAAACAAACAAAAAAAAAAACTGATGAGCTGGAGGATATACCTAGGGTAGCTAGGGCTACCATACCCACTGTTACATGAGAAATGGCCTAGAGGGAAAGTCCAATCCCACAATGTGCTACACAAGGCCTCCAGACTCAGTCTCCTCCATTTGTTCACTTCTGCACACTTGAATGACATGCATACTGCTATATGTTTATGCATACCATCTCCTCTATCTGGAATGTTCTGCCAACAATCTAGTTGGTGAGTACCTATTTTCAAAATCTTTCTCAGTATTTACCTCCTTCCTTAAAAGGAATTTATTTATTTTTTAGTTGTAGGTGAACACAATATCTTTATGTGATGCTGAGGATCGAACCCAGGGCCTCACATGTGCTAGGCAAGCACTCTACCACTGAGCCACAACCCCAGCCCACCTCCTTCCTTTTAAGACTGTCCTAACCAGGGGCTGGAGTTGCGGCTCAGTAGTGGAGCTTTGGCCTAGCACATGCGGGGCACTGGGTTTGATCCTCAGCATCATATAAAAACAAATAAATAAAATAAGGGTATGGTGTCCAACTACAATGAAAAAATTAAAAAAACAAAACAAAACTGTCCTAACCAAATCCCTAGACAGAGCTAGAATCCTAGTGACTAAGGCAAGAGGATTGCAAGTTCAAGGTCAGCCTCAGTAACTAGTGAAACCCTGTCTCAAAATAAAAAAATAAAAAGGGGTGGGATGCAGTTTAGCAGCAGAGCACCCTGGGTTCAATCCCCAGGATTAAAAGAAGGGAAAGAAAATTCCCAGGCAGAATTACTTTCTTTTCTCTTTCTTATTTTTTCTTTCTTTTTTTTTTTGGGGGGGGGCACTAGTAAAGCAACCAAGAGGGCCTCTACCACTGAGCTACATCCTTAGCCCTTTTTAAATTTTTTTTATGTTGAGACAGGGTCTCTCTAAGTTGCTGGGGCTGACCTTGAACATGTGATCCTCCTGCCTCAGCCTCCTGAGTTGCTGGGATTACAGTCATACACAACCACACTCGGCTCTTTTCTAGTACTTTAATGTTCCCTTATACATAGTTTTGTAATTGTATGTTTCACCCTGTGTTGTATTTTATTTATATGCCTGTCTCCCCTATTAGACTTAAGCTTCTTGCAGGCAGAGATCATGTGATCCCTGTTTCTAACACAGCTGCCCTAGCCTGATACTCTCTTGATTTAAACAAATGAACCAAAACTTTTAGTGGTTTTCAAATGTTTGATGGACCACACTGTAGATGACTAAAGGGATGTTAATGCACACACCTTCAAAGACCCAAGAACAGGCTGAATGGAGGCATGTGATCAAGAGACGGATTTGGGCTCCTAGGAGAAAATACTTTAGTATTGATCAGTTCTTAGATTCCACCAATAGAAGCCTAATTTGAAGTAGCTTGAGCAAAAGAGAGATTTTTTTGGCACTCAGATTCCAAGGAAAAGTTGAAATGCCAACCTGCAGGAAGGCCAAGGACAAAGCTGACAAATCTGGGAATACCTGCAACAAAGTACCTGAAAGCTTTCAGGACCCTGTGGCCCTCCCCTCCTCTGAAGACTTCCTTCTTCCTCAATGAAGATTGGCCTCCTCCATATAGTAGGAAGTATGGCTGCGGACAGCTTGAATCTCATAGCTTTCTACCACAGAGACACCAGCTTTCACTCCCAATTCCAGCAAAGAATGTTTTGATGGAGAACTTTCACAGACACAGCTTGGTGTCTGTGGTCAGGAAGATGGGGTACCATGAATAGCCTGGTTTGGGTCAAATGTCAGTTGGCTGAGCTCAGGGATGGGATGCCATTTGGAACCATGCAGAGGGGGAAAACAATTTCCAAAAGGAATGGGGATGTGGGTGCAACCTGGAGAACTGAGGGGTTGAACTCCTTTATTCCCACTTTCTAACCATTATATTCACTTAGCTCCAAACACTTTCTGGTTGCACTCAGCGATATAGGAAAAGGAAGGACCAGCAAAAAGATTATGGTTACTCCTAATATTCAGCAACAGGTTTAGGCGGTGCTTAGCACTTCACTCTGGCAATTGTTGGATGAAACTTAATTATTCTTCTGGGCTTTATTAGTCCTCAACCCATTTCCCGCCCCTGGTACTGGGAAATAAAGGCTGAAGGGATGGAGGAGGTTCGATTACTCTAGAAGCATTTATTAAAACCCCTGATTTATATTAGATCCTGGGAGAGATAGGGGAAGACACAAGACACACATCCAGAAGAGTTCCTGCCTCCAGGATGGGAGTCACCAATGGAGATGGTTGGGTTTGTGTAAGTGGATCAGCAGTCTAAGAGGTCATGAAGGTGGGGGTGGGGCTGCTGCCACAAGAGGCCTGGATCTTAGACCGCCTTGGCTCCTGTGGATCTAGTTCAAGCTCCCAAGCAGCATGCCTGGCTCCCCATCCCCGGGGCTGCTTCTCTAAATCAGCTTCGGGAGGTTCCTCACTGGCAAAATCCGAAGGGAGCAATGAAGGAGTGTGGACAGAAGCGGGGGTCGTGGGGTCTCCATTGAGGGGCCCATTCACAGTTCTGTTTCAAGGACAGCGCTTCCCTCCTCCCTGGGCTTTGCGCCGCCACGCCAGCGCAGCTTGACAGCCGTCGTGGGTCAGTGGAGGGGTGGCCAAGGGACTCGCGCCGGCCCCTCCAGGCATGCCGTGGCGGGCCGGCGGGGGAGGGACAGCAGCAGGTGACGGCGCGGTTTCGGGCTATAAATAGGGGAGCGTCGCGCGGGCGGCAGGGGCCGGCGGCGGGGCTGGAGGCCGGCTGGAGGGCGGGCAGGGCGACGGCGCCATGGAGTCGCGGAGGGTCCCCAGTCGCGGCTGGGGCCTGGGCGGGCGGGCGGGGACGGGGGCCGACGGCGAGGACGATGGGCCGGTGTGGATCCCCAGCCCGGCCAGCCGCAGCTACCTGCTCAGCGTGCGACCCGAGACCAGGTGAATAGCGCTGAGGGGCTGGGCAGCGCCGGGTAGGGCTCCTCTGGGGCGGGCGAAGCTCAGGGTGCCGCCTGCGCCCCTGCTGGCTCGGGGCTGCTCCTCCTTGGAGACCTGGGTGGGGCCCGCGCCCTCGAGCGCTCAGCCTAAAGCCTAAGGCTTGGAGACAGGGACAGGCCAGAATGCCCCTCATGGCTTCTCCTGACCCCTCGTGGCTCAAGGGCCTCAGGCCTCTGGCAACTGAGAGACCCAAGAGAGGAGCAAGGCCCTATTTGGGGGATTTCACAGGGCCTGAAGGTTTTCCTTATCTCCCCACCCCACACCCGGCTACTCCCTGGGACTGGATTCCAGAGCTAGCGATAAGGAAAGTCAGAGAGGCTGAAATTCCTCCCTGCTGGTAGAGAGGGGGAGCGCACTGGTGGCAGGGAAGAGGGACGGGGGACTGCCCTGAATGGGACCTGATTAGCTCAGGGTGGGGGACATTGACCAGGAAGAAAGAAACCTTGTAATAAGTAAGGGTCCTCCTCTGGGCCCAGGGCATTGGTCTTCTTCCCAGGGTCTACGTCAGGGCTGGTGAGATGAAGGGGTAGAATCAAGGGCTGGTTCCTATCTGGGATACCAGGGATTGAGGACCTGAAGCTCTGAGGGAGCCAATTGTCCTGCCCTGTTGGGGGTGGGGGTGAGGTGCCAGAGAGGGATGGAACTGATGAGCCCTTCACTGGTCTTCCCAGAGATAAAGAGTATGGAGACTTTGTTTTAGGAGGAGGCTGCCCACAGATATAGGGACACATAGACAATTGACAAGCATACAGGCACGGAGAAGGATACATGTATTGCCAGGAAGACAGACACTTCCTGCCCATTCTGGGCAACTAAGTTTCCTTTCACTCTGGAGCCTGTTTTCAAAGGGGAATGTGAAGGTTTGGCTATGGGGATAGTGTTGTTTCCTGGTCAGAATTTGTTGTGTATTATGCAGAAATTAGACTTTACTGTGAGACACTGTCTAGAGATCTCTTATTCTCCCTTCATTAAACAGCATAAAAACAGACATCAAGGACTTTCGGGAAAAGTCCTGGGCACTTCCTCTAGGATTGGCTGAGTCCTATTGACCTTGGAGTTGGAAAAGTTCAAATGTAACCGGAACCTGTTTCTGCATAAAACACGTCAAATGGTGTCACATGTCTGGGGCAGGGCTGAGGGCTCCTGTTAGTGATTGAGTCAGACTTGAGAAGGTCCCTGGCTGCCAGGAAAAAATGCCCCTTCCTCTTAAGTACTGTCTCTACTTAAACGCGGGAATGAAATGTGGTCATTTGTTCTGGACTTTAATGAAGGGCACTCCCTGTGGGGGCCTCACATTTGTCACAGTGACTTGTCTGGGCTTTTAAAATTTTTTAGTTTTTAGTAATGGGGATTGAACCCAGAGGTGCTCTACCACTGAGCCACATCTCCAGCCCTTTTTATTTTTTTATTTTGATATAGGTTTCCCTAAATTGCCCAGGCTGGTTTTGAACTTAAGATCTCCAGCCTCAGCCTTCAGAGGCGCTGGGATATAGGTGTGCACTACCATACCTGGCTTATCTGGGGTCTGTCGCCTGCTTCTGGCCTTGTCCAATACCAGTGCAACAAGGAGACAGAAAGCAGGATTCTTTTTAGAGCAGTGATGAGGAAGAGAAGGAAAGGTGCTTCAAAATCCAGGTGGATTGGGGAAGACTGTTAGGAACAAGGCTGGAGAGTGTACACAGTGCTGCTGTCTGGCTGAGCAGTTGTGTGATGGACATTTTTATTGCATATTTGATGTACTCAAAGTTGAGTGTCAGCCAGAGAGCAGCAGGTGGGAAAGAAGTGGCAGTCTCAAGGCCCCTTGGGCCTGAATGGGGATGCTCCTAAAAGGATTGAACCTGAGGGTTGAACCCAGGGCCTTACACATGCAAGTCAAGTGCTCTACCACTGAGCTACAGCCCCACATCCAAAAGGAGTCTCTTTGCCTTTAGAGGGACAAGATAGGCACAGTGGGAAAGAAGGTTTTTCAGTCTTAGATTTTGGACTATGTTATGCCCCTGTAGTTTTCTGTTTCCTGCCAACTAGACACAACTGGACCCCCACCCCACCCCCTTCACAGGTTCTGTGAGACAAGGAGAAAGAATTATTTGGCCTCTGGAAGAGCCTTTGGCAAAGAAGGGACAATGTGAATGGGACTGCCTGGGGAGGGCCAGCTGGATGAGGCACCACAGAGTCTGCTGTCCCTCAGAACAGCTTGACTGCCTGTGGGGACAGGTAGAGTGCCCAAGGGAGAAAGAGGGTCCTTTAAGGACTTGTCAACTATATCTGGCTCCGTCCAGCTGAGCCTTGACTATCCCAGGGTCCTAACTGTAAGGCAAAGTTCTGCCCCCCCCACTCACTCTTGACTCCACTCAAACATTTTCTGGGTATACTTTTACATGGAGCTCTTGAGGCATTATTCTCAAGGGTTCTTGTGAGTGTGGGTTCTCCCTGAGAGTCTATGAGCAGCTGGGCAATGGCTGAGGCTCCAGAAGCCTTGGTCCCGGTCTAGATTCTATGTCCCTATGCACATCTTCCTTCCCTCTGCCCCAAGACCCTTGGAGGGGTTTCCAGTCCAATGTCAGCTCAAGAATATTTCCAGTACTTACCGAGGTTAAAGGTGTGTAGAGAGTTCCACCAAGCTGTCTGGACTGAGAGGCCAAGCCTCTTCAGTCACCCAGCCCGTAGGACCTTGCTCCTATAGGAAAGTGGCATATGGCTACCTAGAATAGGATGAGGAGTGAAAGCATTTATGATGAATTTGCTTTTATGGGACACACAGACGTTTTATTTCAGATGAGATCGGGCACATTCAGGTTGGTATGGCTATAGGTAGAAATTTCATTTCATTTCATGGAGTCCCAGGTCCTGGTAGACTCAGAGGAACAGCAGAACTATCATGTTATTACAGATATCTCCAAAACAAGCTTTGCTATTCTTTAGGGTTGGATGTCTAGGGTTAGGGCAACTGAGGCATCAGGCCAGGACTTTCCATGTCTTTTATGAAATGCAGAAAGAACGGCAGGCCCCCAGCTTCTATGATACTCCTTGTTCCCTCCCCAGGTCTACTTTACTTCTTTATGCAGACACCTTTCTTTCCTGGGCCTTGAATTCCCATTCTAAAATATGAAAGCAACACAAAGAACTCTTTAAATAAAGTCTTTCTGTCCCAACATTTGATTTCTCTGATTCAAGACTCCTCAAAGACAGCAAATGTGGAGCTCCCTGCCGGGGCCAGAGCCAATGGGGTACTGGCAGGTCTTCTACCTTCTGAAGACAAGGAGCTCCATCACCCAGGATTCCTCCTGATCTAACATGTAAGAGCAAGACCTAGAGAAAGCAGGACTTGGGGCCAGGATGCAGAGCTTCACAAACAGCCTGGAGAGAGCTGGTGGGAGGGCTCATTATTCTAGTTCAGTCCCATGCCCACGTGCAGGTGGAACTTGTCATTTCCTCTCTAATTTAGAAAGCTGACTCTCCCCCTCTCCTTCCCAGGGAAGAAATCCAAACCCAAAGAAGGAGAAACATCTCATTTCTAAGGAGAGAGACAAAGGAAAGAATGGAGTTGGCCAGTGCCTCAGAACCAAGGGAAGTTCGCCCACACAGCCTCCAGAGGATTTTTAAGGCTCTGAGCAAAAGCAGCTGCATTCTTGCTCCTCCTTACCATTTTTTTCTGGAGCAGCAGCTCCCTCTGGGGGACAGGACCCTTCCTGTTTGACAAATGCGTTCTTACACTTCTTCTCCCCTCCCTGTCTTCCCTTCCCCCTTCTTCCTTTCTCTCTCCTTTCCCCCTCTCTTTTCAGAGAACGTGGGTTGAATACGTATTGTCTGCCTGGCACTGTGCTAGGAGCTACAGAAACTACAAAAAGATCTAGATTTGAAAGCTTGATGGGTAGGACTTAGTTGAACAGAAGGAAGGAGAGAGGACTTTTAGAGCTGGGAGGACAAAAGTAAAGGCCATGGACACAACCATGCCAATCAGGGACAGGTCTGGCTCCATGGAACCCGAGTTCCATTGGGAAAGTGAGAGAACCGTACTTGTAGTGTGGCTGAGAGCAGATCAAGGAGGGCCTTAAATACAGAGTCAGGGAGTTGGGTCTCAATATAATGCTGATTCTGCAGCATTTGTTCAGAGGTGGAGTTTGGGGTTAAAGAGGAAGGAGATTGAGGTGATCATCAAACATGGAGCCATGAGGATCTAGATCAGAGCCCAACAGTAGGAGCAGAGAGAAAGAGAAAAAGGCTGAGAATTACTGCCTGACTAGATTTGAGGCATGGAGGAGAGAAGGAGTCCAAGATGGTATATTTTGACCTTAGGAATTTGAGAGAATGCTTGTGGTATCTACAAACCCAGGAGTATCGGAGGGAAAGCCAGGTTTTAGGGAACAGGATACGTGGGTTTTGTTTGTTTGTTTGTTTTGTGTGTGTGTTTTCTTTTGGTGGTACTGGGGATTGAAACTTGGGTTACTCTACTACATCCCCATCCCTTTTATTTTATTTTTTGGTACCAGGGATTGAACCTAGGGGTACTTAACCACTGAGCCACATCCCCAGTCCTTTTTATCCATTTATTATCTTAAAAAAAATATATATATATATATATAGTCTCCTTAAGTTGCTTAAGATATCACTAAGTTGCTGAGGCTGGCTTTTAACTTGTGATTCTCCTGCCTCAGTCTCCCAAATCGCTGGGATTGTGGGTGTGCTCCACCATGCCCTTTTACTTTTGATTTTGAGGCAGGGTCTCACTAAATTGCCGAGGCTGGCCTGGAACTTGCCATTCTCCTGCCTCAGCCCTGAGTTGCTGGGATTATAGGCATGTGCCACCATGCCCAGCTAAGATCATTTCTTTATGACCGCAAAACCAAACCCATGCCAAACGCAGTGGTGCAAACCTATAATCCCAGCTCTTCTGGAAGCTGAGGCAGGAAAATCACAAATTCAAGGATAGCCCAGGAAGCTTAGTGAGACCTGGTGGTTTCAATATAAAAAATAAAAGGACTGGGAATGTGGCTCAGTCCTAGAGCACCCCTGAGTTCAATCCCTAGTACGAAAAGGAAGGAAGGAAGGAAAGAAGGAAGGAAGGAAGGAAGGAAGGAGAAAGAAAGTCAGGCACGATAGCTCATGCCTGTAATCCCAGTGGCTCAGGAGGCTGAGACAGGAGGATCATGGGTTCAAAGCCAGCCTCAGCAATAGCAGGGTGCTAAGTAACTCAGGGATTCCCTGTCTCTAAATAAAATACAAAATAGGGCTGGGGATGTGGCTCTGTGGCCAAATGCCCCTGAATTCAATCCCTGGTAGAGAGAGAGAGAGAGAGAGAGAGAGAGAGAGAGAGAGAGAGAGAGAGAGAGAGAGAGAGAGAGAGATCTACAAAACAAAAACAACAACAACAAGTTCACATGGGCACATGCTGTATGCAGTCTTAGAGCTTTCTGTGGTTAGAAATGTAGATCACAATTGCCATTGTACAGGCTGGGCTGTCAAAAAGGAAGGGAGAGTATTTCTGCAGCTGGAGGGGATATGGGCTGATGGCCTTGGCCATGTCCCAAAGAGCTGAGATCCAGGGCTCCACAGGAAATATTTGTGTTAGAAAAGGTAGAGGGAGAGGTAGAAGTCAGTTTCATACCAAGGGCCTAGAGTTCCCTTGGAGCAGCCTTGTGTGGGGCCTCCTCCCTCGGTGCACAACCAGGCCCTGGTTAGTGCCTCAGGCAGGAGGGTGATCAGTGCCTCAAGGTTGGAGGGGCCTCGTGTTGGTCTGAGCAATCTGGGTCCCTCCGGGCTCCTGCTGGATTAACTGCTTTGTTTTTTCTCCTCTTCACTCTCCCAGCTGGTTTGCCTTGCTCTTTAACCAACTTTAACATATTAATAGTGGGTGTTCTCCAAGCCACCTGTCTTCTTCTTAGCTTGTGAAGGGAATTTCCAGGAATGAGGCTCTCCCTCTCAAAAGGAGGGAGAGTGGAAGCAGGAGCTGCCCCCAGCCTGGTGTGCTGTGTGCTGGGGAATTGGCATAAGGCTCTCTCTGGGAACAGAGACCCAAGTGCCCCAGGCACACCTTTCTCCCAGCTCAGCCCCAAGGACCTCCTTCCTGCCTAACCATTTTTCTGGACTCTGCTGCCTTTAACCAGCTCTTGGTTTCAGATACATTGGTGTCCAGTGGTGAGGCCACTTGCTAACTGGAGCAAGCCAACTAAGACAGCTGGTCCCTTTTAATAGAAAGGCCTCTGGGGCCCCAGATGGTGGCCGATTAATACTTCGCGAATGTTGTTGATTTTGCCTCATCCTCTCTTTGCTTTTTTGGCCTAATGATTCCATTTGCTGTTTTTGCTTAGCTTATCAAGCAACCGGTTGTCTCACCCCAGCTCTGGAAGGTAAATGCACATTGCATTACATTTCTCGGACTGCTTTTTTCTTGGGTCTGGGCCTCGAGGGGCCAATGGGTGACTGCTTGTGCACTAACCAGACTGCATGGGTTGAGGGGAGGGTGGGAGGTGAGAGGGTACTCACGTGAGCATGGTCAGGAACCAGAGATGATGCTTGCATGGGCCATTTCAAAGGGCCACAGGGACCCAGGAATAGAGATATGGGCCGGGCTCTCAGATGCCTGCAGTGACCTCTCTTTGCCTTTGGGACAGATACCATGAGAACAAAACAGAGAGCCACCAGTTACATGACCCACTCCTTCCTCATCCTAAGTTTTCATGTTTTTTGTAACTACATATCTAGGTTTGACACCTTATTCATCTTCTAACCATGGCTCCTGCCTTTAACATTTATATTTTCCCACAGTCCCTTAAGTTCTTCTTTCACCTTCTCTTTCTCTGATTTTTTCCTTTTCTTGACTCATCTCCGCTGCTGCAGACTGTGAACTCCGTGAAATCAGAGAATATCATATTACTGTATTCCTGCATTAGCTTGTTCTCAACCTGCTGCAGAGCCAGGGCAGGGCCTGAGCAAGCCCACGGTTGATGTTTACTGGTGGAAAGACTGTCTGTCCTCTTGCCTCCCAAGCTGGGGACAACTCTCTACCCCTGGTTAAACTGTTACCATCACAGTGGGAACATTTCCTGGCTACTTCCCACCCCATGGCCCCATCCCAGACTCCAGAAGATTCAGGGAGAGTGGCTACCTTTTCATGACAGAGGATGTTTTCTGAGTAGCTAACCATGTCTACAGGCATGGTTAGTGCCTACTAAGCACATGTCCTTGATGTTGATGAACATCGAGGAGACTTTGTTCTGGGTGGCTCAGGGTTGGAAAAGAGTATATCCCAACTGATTCAAAGAGTGTGGAAATGCTGAAAGAGAGAGGATCTGGGATTTATTCAAAGTAAGGTACCTACCAAATCTAAGAGCAAGGTTAGTTTCCATTGAACATCATGAAAACCAACGATTCCGATGTTCTTTGGAGACATGTGATCAGTGAGTGATGTCCTTATGAAGTCATGAAATGGGAAGGACTCAGAGATGTCAGGGTTGGAAAGATCATTCCCAAATGTGCACAGACCTCCCAGCTTTCTAGGGGACCTAATGGAGCACACTCAGTCCATGCACATCTGAATGGTTTTGAGGATAGGAACAAGAAGCTGTAGACATTCAGCAAAATATGACAGTGTATACAGTGATTTTTCCCTGTCTCCCCAGATGCATCCCAAGCCCACTTCCCTAGAGGGAGGGCTTTCTAGCCACACTTAGTTTACCTATGGTTTTCTAATATAAACTATTTTATGATATAGTTTAGGTCTTTGTGTGGAAAATTCAAGAAAAGTTTTTATTCCATTCAAAATAAGTCTAGCATGAGCACTTATCTCTGCAAATTTTCTTGAAGCAGTTTACTTACTTATCCAGTAGTGAAATGATTTTCTTAGACTTGCCCAAGAGCTTTCTCCCTAAGAGTCTGAGCAGAATATTGGATCCAGACTTGTACACAGATGAGATAGGATATAAATTCTGTAGGGGTTCATACTTAGGGATGTTTTGAATTAGTTACAGAATCATAGACATTGAATTACATTTGGCCTGAAATTTTCTAGAAAGTGTTAATGGAAGTTTGGTATTTTCCCAGTCAGAAATTGCTATCAGTATGACAGCAGCAAGAAACATTTCTAGATGTTAATATTTTCTGAGTGTTCAGAGAGTTGATAGCTTCCGTCTCAAAAGACACTCTGTTTGAGTGACTTAGCTTATCAGACAGGTGAGTTCTAGGTGAGAGGGTATTGCAGAGAATGTTCAGAATGCATCTGATTGCAGCTGTGCAGTGTGCAGGTGTTTGAGAAGTTGGGATCCCCATCCTCAATAGATTTTTTTTGGGGGGAGGCCTCCTGTCAACTCCCTGAATGCCCCAGTGTCTGTGGAGAAGCTACAGTAGACCCCCATCAATCCAGAAGTCTTTTTTGATTTGAGACGCTCTTCCTGGGTCTCAACCTTTCTCCTCAAACTCAAGTCCAGAACAATATTCACAGAAAAGATACACTGAATGTAGAGCTCCTCCCTGAAAAGTACTTAGGTTGCTTGTGCTCCCATAACTCACTCCACCCCTGATGAAGAGTCGTAGACAGATGACCGTTGCCCTTGGGGGACCACCTCTTCCTCCGAGACCTGGAAAAAGGCACCTTTGAATGTTTGTCTTCCTCCACAGTTCCTCCTGCTCTGCCCACTCTTTCCCCTCATTGTCCCTGCTGCTCACAGAGGGTGTGTGCCTGGGAGGGGGAGGGGAGCTGGGCACAGCTTGAGCACCACACCACCTGTCTATGTGGTTGCGCTTCATGCCTGGGAACGCACTATGTCTGCTGGCCCGTGAAAGGGGTTGGCACTGTGGTTTGGTTTGCTTCCTGTGTCCAGGAAAGAGTGGACCATAAGCCTTGAGCAGTGTTGGTGAGTTTGTTCTGGACTCAGTAAGCCCATGGGTGACCCTGAATTCTGGGAGATGGACCATCACAGGGGCACTAAGAGTCCCTGGCTTTTGCGGGAGTGGGTCTGTTTGGCTTGGCAGCCCTGCTGGTTGGTCCTGGATTTGCCAGCCCTGTTTTCACTTCAGCATGTGGTGTCCAGGGATGGAGCAGGAGACTCATCCCTGGCTTTCCAGTGCTGGTCCAAGGCCCTGTTTGGGGACCAGGAGCCTATGGGCAGCAGCCTGCCTGTTGTGATGGGTGTGGGTCAAGATTCCATCCAACACCTTGGTACCATCCCTACCCCACCTGGCCAAGAGGCCCAGGCTTCCTTGAAGAAAGAAAGGGCTGGAGCTTTGGCCATAGGATGACAGACAGACATGGTAAGATTTAAGCTGTCCTGGACAAGTTCAGGCTATGGTAAGTTTCCTGGGGGAGGGCCGCTCTGAACAGCTCTTTGCCTTTCCTAGGAGCACCTTCTGCTCCATCATTGCTCAGCTAACAGAGGAGACCCAGCCACTATTCGAAACCACACTCAAGTCCCGGGCTGTGTCCGAGGACAGCGACGTCAGGTTCACCTGCATTGTCACAGGTAATGAGACTGTCTATGGTCCATGCCAAGGCCTCTGCATGGAGCAGGGTCCAGGGTGGCAGGGGGGACAGGTGTGGCGGGGTGATGGGTCATGTGTACAAAACTGTGCAAGTTGACATTTGCTTTCCAGCTTTGTCTCCAGTTTGATCTCTCTGTGTGGGCAAGTGTCCCTTTGTCCTCCCCTTCTGGAGTCCCATTTATACACTGTTATTCTTCAAAATCTGTCCTCAGTAAAGTTTCCTCACCCTCAGGCATACTTACATCCCTGATGAGTTGATCTTTGAAGCCATCTCTCTGAATGCCCCATTTTCACAGTTGAGCAGTTTGTGGCTTGCAAGTATCAATCCTGAGAGGCAATGATGTGGTAATTCTGATTTCAGATCCTAGAGGCAAACTGCCTGACTTGGAATCCTGGCTCAGCTCCTTTGTAGTATATGGTATTAAGTAGCTTATATCACTTCTTAGCTGCCTCGTCTGTAAAGTGGGAACAATAATACAATGAATTTCATAGGATTGTAAAACTGAGTTAATACATGGAAAGCATTTGGAACAGTACCAGGCATACAAGTAAGTACTATGCAAGTATTAGGAATTAAGACTACGGTTGTTTGTATTTCACTGAGCTCCATGGTAGAATTTGGAGTAATTTTGGCAAACTAGGAAGCAGAGTGATACCCTTAGAAGGGGAGAATGGGAGCTGGGAGCACTGGGAAGTTGGCTCCAGGAGTCATTCCCTCCCCTCACCAAAGCATAGCCTAGTTGCAGGGACTGACCTGCCTCAGGGCCTGCAGAATATCCACCTCCATGGGTCTCTACCCCTCCCAGCTACACAGCCACCAGGTCAAGGGTCCCTATCCCAGCTTCCTTTGAGAGCCCATTTTCTCAGTTAGTCAAGGGCATGGGTGATTTCCAGCTGTGACATTTCTTGATTCTGGGGCTTTCATCTACCCCCCCCCCCCCAGCTAAACAGCTTCTTTGGGATTGGGATTCCCATAGACAGTTCTCTGCCTTCCCTAGAACCCTGCAGCACCAGGCTGAGAACACTGCTCGAGGGACAGAGTTACCTGTGTCCCCTACCTGGGCCCAGCACAGTGCATTTTGCAATATTTGTTTCCATTGTCATTGAAACCTTGCAAAACCCTGTGAAGTAAGTGCTATTATTAGTCAAGTTTTGCAGAGTTGAAAACTGCCTGGGTGACCTGTCTAGTTCCACAGGACTGGTGAGGAGGAGGTCCTGCTTTTTCTCTGCAGTGTCCACACCTGCATTTCCTTGCCACTTCAGCACTAACAGTTTTCTAGAATAATCTGGTTCTTTCACCACTCTGTGGTTTCTTCTTCATTTAGGATGTTGATAATCCCTATTTTTGAAGAAAATTAAATTTTATCAAATTAATGCATGCATGTAGTTCAAATTATACTAAAAAACATTACCATAACAGTTCATGCCTCCCACCGATTTGTCTTCCCAGAAGCAACCATTTGTAGTTTTTAGTGGTCTTTTGCAGCCTGTATACATTTCCACGGTGCTGAGTAATAAGTAAATACTTCTAACTCTTGAGTTTTTTTTTTTTTTTTTTTTTTTTTTGTGGTACTGGGAATTGTACCCAGGGATACTCTACCAGTAAGCTCAGTCCCCAGCTCTTTTTAAAATTTTATTTTGAGACAGGATCTTGCCAGTTTGCCAGGTTGGATTCAAACTTGTGGTCCTCCTACCTTAGTCTCCTGAGTAGCTGGGACTATAGGAGTAAGACATTGCACCCTGCCAGAAATTATCTTTTATATCTTCATTTTCTCTATTTCCATTTTTTATCTCTTCCATATAGTTATAATGTGATTTTTGCTTAAATCAGTATTTACTGTTTCCCTTATTATGCCTTTGTGCTATGAGTCATAACTGAATATTGTAGTACATAATGTTATACCATAATAGTGTACTATGTTATAATCACACTGCCAATGATTATATACATTGTATATACAATATATGAGCATGTATACATAACATAATAATTATGTATACATTGTAGATTATAATCATACTGTAGGTGATTGTATTTTCTCTGTTTTTCCTGAAGTTAGTGCTTTCCTTAGTTTTTTATTTGTTTAGTTTTTTGGTATTTCTAATGTTTTATTTTTCTTTTTGTTTTTGCTTTTTGGTACTGGGGCTTGAATCCAAAGACACTTTACTACTGAACTAAATCCCCACCATTCTCCTTTTTTTTTTTTTTTTTTTGGTGGTGCTGGGATTGAACCCAGGGCCTTGTGCATGCAAGGCAAGCACTCTACCAACTGAGCTATACCCCCATTACCTCCCATCCTTTTTATTTTGGGGAGGACATGGTCTCACTAAGTGGCTGAGGTTGGCCTTGAATTTGTGATCCTTCTGTCTCAGGCTCCTGAGTAGCTGGGTTATGGTGTACATCACAAGTCCCAGGTTTTTTATTTGATGGTAGGAGGAGATGTGGTCTCACTAAGTTCTTAGGTTGGGTTCGGACTCCAGGGTAGGTGCATGCCCACATGCCCAGCAGCTAATTTTTCTTATACTTCTTAATATACATATTAGTTGTAGATGGACACAAAACCTTTATTTTTATTTATTTATCTTTTTATGTGGTGCTGAGGACCGAACCCAGGGCCTCACATATGCTAGGCAAGCGCTCTACTACCGAGCTACAACCCCAGCCCCTAAGAGCTTTTTTTTTTTTAATAACTTTATTTTATTTATTTATTTTTATGTGGTGCTGAGGATCGAATCCAGGCCTCACATGTGCTAGGCAAGTGCTCTACTGTTGAGCTACATTTTTCTCTTTCTTGATTACATTCTGGTTTGGGTAGTTTCCTAGAAATAGTACATGGGAAGTAAATGTTGGACTTTCTGTAAAAATGTCTCTTTTACTACTTTATGCTTGGTTGAAAGTTTGGCTGTCTATAGAATTCTAAGTTGAAGATACTTTTCCTTCAGAATTTTAGACACTACCCTCTTATCCTCTTGCTTCCAAAGTTGCTGCTCAAAGTAGGAAGACAGTTTGCTCCTAATTCTTTGCATGTGACTGTTTTCTCTTTCTGGAAACTTGTAAGAGTGTTATGATATTTCATAATGATGTATTTTGATATGGGTCTCTTCATCCTGCAACACGCTTGGATGCTTTTAGTTGGAAACTGAGAGCCTGTAGTTCTTGGAAATGTGGGATTGTTTTGATGTTGATTATGTTGATTTCCTTTTATTTGTTTATTTTTTGGTGGTGTTGGAGATGGAATCTAGGGACTTGCATGTGCTACGCAGGCACTCTACCACTGAACTACATCCCCAGCCCCTTGATGTTGATTTCTTACTCCTTGTTTCTCTATTCTTGCTTCTCTTTGGATATCTGCTCCTGTGGACTTACTCTCTTCTTATTATTTTATTTTTTAATATTATTATTATTATTATTATTACACTGCTGGGGTAGAACATGCTGGGCAAGTGCTCTACCAAAGAATTATACCCCCAGCCCTTGTTCTGTTTTCTTATCCTCTCTCCTTTCATTTGTCTTTTGTTCTACTTTCTGGGAGATTTCCTCTGTTTTTGTTTTGTTTTGTTTTTTGTTTTTGGTACTAGGGACTTATCCCCGGGGTGCTTTATCACTCACTGAGCTACAACCCTGTCCTTTTAAAAAATTTTTTATTTTGAGACAAGATCTTGCTAGGTTGTTGAAGATCTCACTAAAGTTGCCAAGGCTGGTCTCTAACTTGTAATTCTCCTGCCTCAGCCTCCTGAGACACTGGGATTATAGCCACGGACAACCATACTAGGCCCATTCTGCCTTTTAACCTAGGAGCCTACTGCTTCTTTGCCTGGCAAATTCTTCTTCTCCTTTAAGGTCCAGCTCAAAGGCTGATCCCCTGGAAAGTCATTCCAGTACTTCCAGGGGAGCCCCTGCTCCGTGGCACAGCTTGTTCACACTTCTGTTTCCAAGAAGATCATGAGATATGCAAGGACAGGTCACCCCCTGTCACTTCGTGCCTCTCTGGACCTGGTACAAAGAAAACGTTCAGTATATATTTGCTAGATGACCACAGTGAACCTTGACTCGTGCTGATGTCAAAATCAGTATCTTTACTTTCCACATTGTCTGTTTACCTCAGCTGTGGCTTGGGTGCTGTGGTAACAGCAGCTGCTCTGGTGTCTGGGGACCACTCAAGAGGAGCAAGCATCAGGCATAGCTCCCCCTTCTTTCCTGTCCTTTGAAGTCATGAACTCTGAGAGAAGTGTGGAGATGCCAGAAATTCATCTGGCATACATACTGGCATATATAATCTTGGATCATTATATTGAAAACTCCCAATGTCATTATGGAGCTAAGTTTTTCCTGTTTCAAGCCCAATCCAAGTAAGCAAATTATTTATTTACTCATTCATTTCAGTTGGGGATCAAACCCAAGGCCTTATGTATGCTAGGCAAGCACCCTACCACTGACCTATATCCCTAACCCTTTTTAAATTTTGAGACAGGGCCTTGCTAAATTACCCAGGCTGGCCTCAAACTTGCGATGTCCTTATCTCAGATGTGCTGAGTAGCTGGGATTACAGGCATGTGCCATCACACCTGGCCAGGAGAAAACTTTTATACCTATATCTTGTGACCACCAGCCAGGGCCTTCTGCTCTGGAGCACCTGCCTGCTAAGATCTAAGTCACTACCAATTGAGTCTACAGTTTCTAAGGTTCTGGCTGTCTTTCATATCCACCCCTTAGTCCATTGTTTCACTTTCCCTTTACCTGTCCCCACATACACCCAAAATCTCACGTTACGCTGGGAGAGGATAGCATATGCTTTATAATCCCAGAAACTCGGGTAGTCTAAGGCAGGAGGATTCCAAGTTTGAGGCTAACCTGGGTAATTTAGAGAGACACTGTCTCAAAATACAAAATAAAAAGGGCTGGGGATATAATTCAGTGGTAAAGTACCCCTGGGTTCAATTCCCAGCACTAAAACCAAAAACAAGCAAAAAACATTGATGA